GCACCTCTACCACTAGCCAGGGCAGCCACTCTGGGATGTCATCCTTTGCCCAATCTCGCGGGCCTTCCAAGATGGCCTACGAACCAAACCGCATCAGCACCGTTCACGAAGACAATGAGGAGGAGTACATCTCCCAGAACAACTACCATGAGCCTCAAGGTATGCTTACACCGACTCGGGAGTTCTCTCGTGGCGGTTCTGCGCCCTTGGGCACTCCTCCTCAACCCATGGCCGCTCAGAACGCATCGTTGAGCAATGACAACACTCCCAAAACGGACAAGGGCAAAAAGCATAAGAGGGGGTCATCGAGCTGGTTCCCCAAGATTTCTCGGTGGTCCGAGTCGACGGCTACAAGCGTAAGCAAGGCTTTCCGGGGCAGCGGCTCTAGCAAGAAGGAACACGAAGACGAGTTCCTGCAACATCCTCCATCCCGATCTGGATCCGATCTACGATACGACGACCGGTACCAGAATGAGTTTGGCGGCAGTGACCAACTGCACTCTGGATTCTCGCAGCAGGATCTTGCAGCTCCTCAGCCCCCGCACCTGGATCCTCCTGCCACCTACATGACCCCTGAGGACCCCAAGTACAAGGCGCACCGTAACTCGGTCAATCTCCAACACCCCCAGCCTCGTCAAGGACAGACTGAGAGGTTCAAAGCTGCCCTCGAAAGCCAAGCATACGACTACGATACGCCTATGTCTCCCAGATCTGCAGACTGGGCCGGCTCAGCCACCAGCTTGCACCGCTTCCCCCCAAATGCCAATAGCTATAGCAATGGCTCCCCCGCGACAGGTGGCGACTACTACACGTCCTCCTCCCCAGCTGGCCCACCCAGGCCGCCTAAGGAGCCCATGGATGAGATGACCCATACGCCCGCCAAGAAGCGAATCTCCAACTTGGCCTTGAAGAGCAGCCCTCTTCCCTACAACAGTGTTGAGAGTGGTTACGGCACTGGCCCTGGCACACACGCCGCCAGCACTAGCAACTACACCGGCAGCCCTAAGCCGGAGAACCGCAATCTCAGCGGTGCTCGTGGCATGCCTGCGCGTAGGCCTTCCGGGCCGCGAGCCATGACCCCCAAGAGTGCGGAGGAGGAAGCCGCCAGAGAAGAGCGACGTCGCAAGAGAGGTAAGCACATTACATTTACAGTAATTGAGCCGCAAGCTGACTGACTATCTAGACACCTTTGGCACAGTCGCTAGCAATGAGACCGATACCTTCTAGACAAAATGATTCCTCGCCACAGAGAATCGTTTGTGCATACAACACACAAATAAGCACTACTACATGAGTTGATGCTACTGGATAGCTTGAACACATGATCAGCTATAATCATTGAACATATTGGATGCAGATTCTCCCATCTGCTATAGAGATGCAGCGGCAACCAACCAAAAAAGGGGAGCAAGTTGTACAGCCGCAGGGAGGAAGCGGGAGGGGACGACGGAGGTGGATTTGGTTCGCTACTCAACCTAACGACGACATGACACGCAATGGATGGCTTTTGCGTTTTAGCGATGTTTTCGAGGTGGAGGAGGAGGGGGGAAGGGAACGACAGCACAGCATGACCTCAGTTGGCCATGTTGCGTTGAGGACAGTGCCGAAGGAAGAAAGGCATGGAATAGGTTTGGAACGCGCGACAAAGTTGGTTGATACCACATTCTCGATATTGGGCTGCTGTGTTTTTTCTTCAAGAGCAGCCGTGACGCATGGCAGATACCATTAGGGGTTTTTGACTGTAATAGTAGTCGTGGATAATGGAACCTCTACTTCGCCCTGACGATTTATGACCAAATGTGAAGATTGTGTTCCCAGATGAAGGGGATATGGAATTGAATGAGGTGAATCTTGCTTTGTTGATGGTTGAAGTACAATGTGGGCACCGAATATGACTGGTGTGTTTTATGGGAGGAAACTTTGAATCGAGGGAACTACGGGCACATCCGGTAGAGGGTGCGCGGGGTCTGCCGTCGACGGTTATCTTTACCGATGGCAAGTACAAGGAGTTTCCGCCCATTTATGGTGTGAGACATAAGCTATGTATGAAGAGGACTTCATCAGTGGGAAGTAATGAGAAGCAGGATATCTTCAGTGTCAAATGTTCTACGTGTAGGTTCCTAAATCAGATGTATCAATATTAAACAATTTCATTTTGAAAAGGTTTCCCATTGTCTGACTGAACAAATGCAGGGTTGAAAATGTGCAGGAATAATTATCAAGTAAACAATGGTGATAGTCGACTTGAACCCGTGACCTCTACGAAGGTCACAAAAAAATAAGCTATCCATGGCCTTATCTAGGACCGTGAGCCAACATACGATAGAGTCGTCCCGCTCGGCCATCGGCTACAACGGACGGTGCTTGTTGAGACCTGCATCGTCATTGGTATTCATAAGGGATAGAACGAGGGCGGTCAAGATTCATATACAGGTAGGAATAAACAGACCAGTTTCCATCTCATCTATGGTGACAGGTCGCAAACTAATTCACGTAGAAGCTTTCTACAAGTCAATTAGTGAGCTCTAGCATCAATCAATCGGGATTGACATTTGGTTTATTCCGTAGCTAATGCGCAGTAAGTCAGAAAGATACGATTCATGTCTTGCCCAAACGCACAGCATCTTCTTCATTTCGCATTCACGTCTCCGACGATGCGTCGCTCGTGGCCCGGTTTAACGCCTACGTCATTCCCGCTCGATAACACTTATCGCCGACGACCGGGAATGCCCCTCATTGCATTAGCGAGGTTTCGGCGATAAAGATAAGATTGTGTGCGCAACGCCCTTTCGCAAACTTATTACCCCTCGAACGACTTTTGAGCCCACCGCGAGACTGCGCGAGGGAGCAAGCCATATAATCATCTTGCCCGACGACTACTTCACCGCCTCCTTCCTCCCCCTTCGTCTCCCATTCTCCCCTAATTTTACCTTACAATACCGCCACAATGCCTCGAGATCCGCTCATCGGCCTGGTCGGCAAGCCGTCGGCCGGTAAGAGCACAACGCTCAACAGTCTCACAGACGCCTCGTCAAAAGTTGGTCCGTAAACCTCCAAATCCATTCGACCGAGAGAAGGGAAACCCCCGACGCCCACCGACCTGGTCGCTGATGGACATATCGTGAAAACAGGAAACTTCCCGTACGCTCCAACTCTCACCCTTACCCTGGCCGCCTCCTTCATATACTCGAGATTCTGTTTTATTCGTTGGTGGTTCAGCAGCATCCACTAACATTCAATACCTCTCCCTTTGCAGATTCACAACTATCGATCCCCAAAGGGCAATCGGCTACCTCCAAATAGAATGCGCCTGCGCGCGCCACGGCGTCTCGGATCGCTGCCGACCCAACTACGGCGCCTGCATCGACGGCCGCCGTTCGGTACCCATCGAGCTCCTCGACGTCGCCGGCCTCGTGCCGGGAGCGCACCAGGGTAAAGGCCTAGGCAATAAGTTCCTCGACGACCTGCGGCACGCCGACGCGCTGATACACGTGGTGGACGCCTCGGGCACCGTCGATGCCGAGGGGAAAGAGACTCGCGGCTACGACCCGTCGGTCGACATCGCCTGGCTGCGCGGCGAGATCGTGGCCTGGATCCGGGGCAACCTGATGGAGAAGTGGGGGTCGATCCGGCGGCGGCACATGGCCATCAAGGCCACGGCCGTCGAGACGCTGCAGGGTCAGTTTTCGGGATACGGGAGTACCTCCAACGTTGTCGCGCGGGCGCTGGACCGGCTGGGCATCAAGGAGCCGCTCGAGGACTGGGACGCCGAGACGATTGACCGCGTCGTCAACGCCTTCACCGACGAAAAGTTCCCGACCGTCATCGCGCTCAACAAGATTGACCACCCGGACGCCGACAAGAACATTGCAAAGATTGCAAAGATGCAGGACCCCAACACGATCGTGCTGTGCTCCGCCATTTCGGAAATTTTCCTGCGCAAGATGGCTAAGCAAGGGTACATCAAGTACACGGAAGGCAGCGAGTTCGTCGACACGCGGGAGGACCTGATCGAGCAAGGGGACCCCACGGGCGGGAACCTGAAAGAGCTGGACGAGAAGAACCGCAACCGGATAGAGAACCTCAAGGACATGGTGCTCTACCGCTTCGGGTCGACGGGCGTGGTGCAGGTGCTTTCCAAGGCGGCCGAGATCCTGGGCCTCGTCCCGGTGTTCCCGGTGCGCAACACCACCTCCTTCACCTCCGGCGCTGCCGAGTCCAAGTTTGTCTTCCGCGACTGCGTGCTGGTCAAGAAGGGCACCACGGTCGGCGAGGCGGCGCGCAAGGTCATGGGCGACGCGCCCATTGCGTACATCGAGGGCGCCGGCGGCCAGAGGGTCGCGGAAGACCACCTCGTCACGGTTGGGAAGAACGATGTAAGTATTGCCTCGCCCCCTTTTTTTGATACTCACATACACGTATCCTAACGTTGTCTTCACACAGATCTTGTCGTTCAAGGTTGGAAGAGCTTGAAGAAGAGTTGAAGCTATCTCTGCGTCATCTGACCACAGTACACTCATTCCCACCACAGCTGCATAAAACTGGAAAATACCCAGTGACATCTAGATTCCCCGTGACTGCCCCTCTCCTCGGAAAAGATAGAAGGGGTTTCATCGCAAATCATTCTCAAAAAGCTCCATGGTAGAGTTGGGAGGCGGGTACTCCGGAACAACCGCCCCCTAGCCCAGTAAGGCGAGAGCGATCACCTGGGGGCCAAGGGACCATTCAGGGTGGGCCTCGAGAAAAAGAATTAAATAAAGAAATTTCAAAAGATCAAGACCTGCCGCGGGCAATGAAGCATTGTTTTCAAAGTACCGACTCGGAACTCGAGTCATTCCGATGTGGACCGTTAAGGTATCTTTCTTGATATTCTGCCCTGTCTCTATTTTCGCATTCGCGCTTCGCGGCCATACCCGCGCCATCTCGTTTTCTCTTTTTTTTTTCCTGCTCGATTCCTCCCTCACCAGGGCAGTGACCAGCCGACTGGTTGCGGTCTGCGCCTACCTTACCAAAGTGCAATTTAAACTAGCGGACAGGGATACAGGCCTCACCGCGAAGGCGGGGGCCCCTATCCTGTCCCACCGGGCGCTTGCTGCCAGCGGCCGGCCAGCCAGCCACAATGGAGCCCTGGGCCCCCGGACGCTTCTGGCTTCGCGCCGATTGCCAGAAAGCCCAGAGGTACCCGCAGTGCCGAGCTCTTCTGCGTCCGAGTTGCGTACGCGTCCCTCGGCTTCCGCTGCGCTGGCGGATTTTACCATGTTGCAATTTGCAAAATGAATCATTTCTGCTGTATTCCGTAGTCTCGTACGGAGTACCCGCGAGGCAGACTGCGAGCAATAGGGCGGATCAGCAAGCAATTTGGGGGCCATTGGCATGCTTATTCTCGTGCTAGCACTCCGCTCAATATGATGGAAACAAGGTTATTTCACAATCACAAAGTCATCTGAGCGCAGTCATCGTAAAGGAAATAAGCTCCAAAGTAGCGTCGCAAAGTCGGATGTTTCTGACAATAGTCTAGAATACTTGTAGCAGTAGACAGAAAGTTGTAAACGTTTCAATGCGACAAGCATGACATCACATGGATCTGCGTCAATGGTTTGGTGGTTTTGTGGAGACGCCCAACCGCGTATCAAGCACAGCTTACTGTGTTCAGCAATCTGCGGCATGATCGGGAGCATTAATTCTCACAGCTGGGAACACTGAACAGGAATCACGATCAAGACGTTGTAGTGAAATAGTTTGAAGAGATTGATATGTCGGGTATCGAATTAAGCATGCTACACACAGCGCGAATTCCTCCTCCACTTCCTGGTCTTGAATGCCTGCCCAAAACAAATCGTTTCGAAAAGTCGCATTCCGCAAGATGAGAAGTAACGTGACAAAGTCCGAAGAATGGAACCGCCAGGAATTATGAAAAGAGGCCGTTGCTGTGTCGTTGTCGTAAAAAACAGTGGTGGAGGTTGGTGAGGTAAGGGGTAATAGGCCAACCCTGCAGAGCAGCATGCATCCTTGCAGCTGGCGCAGGAGGATCCCCCAGCATTGCCGGATGAGACGGAGAGCCAAGATCGCTGGAATGCCCGGCCACCGCCTACAGCGTCACACTCTTCGGGAAGGCGTGGTGACACATCCTTGAGAGTAGGTAGAGTTCATGTCGCTTCCGTTGCTGGATATCGTCATGCCCTCTCGTGTAGGCGATTACGATCGGAGAAATGCAGCGACGATTCGCTTAGTACTTCAGAATGATGTACAGAGCGTGGATGATACCAGGGAGGTAACCTATTATTGTTAACTAGATTCACAGTGTCTGAAGAACTGTCAAGCTTACCAAGAATGGTCAACAGGATGTTGATGAAGAAGTCAGCGCCGCAGCCACGCTCGAGGAAGACACCGACGGGCGGGAGGATGACGGCAAGAATGATCTTGCAGATATCGGAGGCGGTGAAAGGCATGTTGATTGATGTGTTGGTGTTGTCAAACGGTGTGTTTATTTGTGTAGGATAGTTCGTGACGGGATCCTGAAGATCTGATGTGTGATGTCGAATGTAAGTTCGTTGGTTGATAAGGGGAGGGGAATCGAATGGTAAGTGGGCTGGGGAAGAGATGGTTATATAGCAGGAATGAGAGCAACTGCCAACTGGGGGAAGCCACAGCCCAGCGCAGGAAAAAATACAAAAAAAGGCAAGGACGAGCTCACAGTGATGTGATGTGGACTTGCATGGGCCACCCCTTCCCGCTCTCCTCCGTACCAACCTGACCTTACCTTACGGATACGTCTGACAAGGGACAAGCCAGTCGCAGGTGGTAGGCCAGTGAGGCCCGGCAGACATGTCTTCCCCCCCCCCCCCCCCCCCCCCCCCACCCCCCCCCCCCCCCCGGGACGCCCGGAAAGGGAAAACCCCGGGCCGGGGGGGGGGCCGGGGGGGCCCGCGGACATGTCTTCCCCCCCCCCCCCCCCAAAGTACCCAAGCGCAGCCTCCCAAGACGAGCCAACGAGCAACAAGAGCGTCTGGTCGTGCCGGGAAAGGCTTGGGGGTGTGGTATGAGAGAGGAGTTGCGTCATCGACTCATTCCCGGTTTGCTGCGGCAAGGAAAATAAGGCACAAGCGGCAGCACCAGCACATGGCCACACGAACTGCAAGCTCTGGGCCTCTGGCTAGGCCATTTACGCCTTGAGAGAAGAAGGAAAAGATGGGATGGCTCTTGCCGTGCGTTGCGGACAAGCCACACCTCCGCCCACTTTAGCAATGACCTTGTCTCTTTTCCCTCCTCTTCCTCTGCACTGCTGCAGGCTCTCCCCTCCTGCGCCTGCGGAAACAAGCACCCGAGCGGAGCAAATGTGAGCCCCTTACGACGTATCACTGGGACACACGGCATCTGGACCTTCCTGCTGCCTGTCATGCCTTTGTCGCTGCATCAGACCTCGCAGCGCACACTGCCAGGTTTCTCAGATCCCATTGACGAGGATTGGATGCCTGCTCTCAGCCTCCGAAGCTCGCTTCCACGGCAAACATTCGGTCCCCCTACGTCTTCGTCGTTATTTCCTCTCCGCGCTTTCACGATGTTCAATCGTCTTGGATCGCGGTGGCCTCGGTTTCCGATCTATCCTTACTAAATCGAGACCCATTGCGCGTCCCTCCATCCCTCTTGCCCAGCCTTTTCCCGCCGTCATTGAGGGGCTCTGTGCGGTTAGTCCGACGTCCTTGAGCAACTTGTACAGCTAATTCCTGCTCAACTGCTATACTTGCTCCCTCATGTACCTCAGCACTGCGTGAACTCTTTTCGGTGGACGCGATAAAGGTGGGTGCTACGTCATCAACCGAGCCCTTGCTAGCGCAGCGCTGGTGGGGTTCGCTCTTCTTAATTTTGCTCTTTTTGCTCATGGCTCCACCTATCGTCATCCAGTCAAAACAGCTTTGAGCTGGTCAGGGGACATCCCCATGCACGCAAGCCTCACGGTGCGCGTCATGAGCCACAAACGCCACACACCGGAAGCTGCTTCATGGGACAATAGTGACGACTCAGCCACAGATGCGTTCCAGGGTCTGCCTGTCTTGTCCATGTCGAGGCCCCCAACAACTCAAGAAGTCAAGGTTGATGCTATTCTTTTCTCCAGCGGACATCGGTCCGTCCGCGCTCGTCGCGGAGAAGGACGCAATGCACTGACGATCCAGGTGGTTCTTTTCCTCCGCCTAGGATTTCCTTTTCTTCGTTCGTCCTAATTCCCCTTCTTCATATTCCTCCCAAACAACACAGGAAAACCTGTCAGTCTGTCTCACCAATGGAAACCCAAGGCCCTCGTGACTTATGACGCAAGGGGCCCGGTCATGCCCGGCGGCAAAGAGGGCCAAGCCGGTTCGGCAGCTCCCAGGGCTAGGGAGGAGACGCGGCCTGTCTCCGCTCTGCAACGGGGAACTCAACGTGGGCGGCGAAAAGACGTCAAATCCTCGATATCGCCCTTGCTCCGAGCTCGTAGGGCTGGGCAAGACCGGCAGGCTTGCGGCAAGGCTAGCTGTGGCTGGTAACTGTGAGGTATGCCGCGACGAATGTTGCGTGCCTTGAACAACTAGGTATTGCGATTTCGTCGCAACCAACGCCACACTTGCGCACGCCTGAGGCTCAAGGGGCCGATGATGTAGTGTCACATTTGCGCGTCCGTTGACTTCCCAGGCCCGAGGCTATTATTAACATATTTATTTCTTGTTTCGGCCGGGCCAAGCGACCTCATTGGCAATCGGCTCTGCTACTATACATCGGTTTCCCCACGAAAGCCAGGTCTGGCCAACAGTGATGGACTAGCTCTCATAGGCAATCCTAGACTGCCAAACTGCCTAGACATGCACGTCTGAGGCTACTGCCCACCAGCCATTGTTGGTTCAGCATTGGACATGACACAACTGGCTTGGAGTGTATACCAAGGCAGCGAGGTCCGTACTTTCGCTGAACATCTATTGGCGCCACCGGTGCCGTGTTTCCGCAAGCTATTCTAGCTACGGTTTGTTAAAGAATATTTTGTAGGGTGGACTTGGATTTAAGCGTCATAGGAGTTCATTCGTCGTCGTGCGCCGAGGGAGCCATTTTCCTGCCAAACGCCAATGTGCCGCCAATCGTCTTGCCCAAGATGTATCCAGCGTAGAGGCCGCAGACAATAGTGACGGGCCACTTCTGCCACTCACGATCCCAGTCGAGCGGAATGGGCACCGCACCGAGCCACGCGCCCAACAGGCCTCCTACGAGACCGCCGTATGTCTCGTCCAACGGTGCCGCCGCACTGGCGAGAGCCGCCCAGGTGCTCGCATCGACTCCATGAACGTAGAAGAGCGGGAAGAGCGAGAGAATGGCGACGTTGGCGGAGCAGAGGAGGGTATGCGGTACATGCGTCAAAAAGGGGGCGCCGAAGAGGACGAGAACGACGTGGATGGCTGGCGTAACGAGGACAGCGAGGAGGAGGGAAAGGAATATAGCCTGAGGGGTTCCCGATAGTCAGCTATGGCCCTTCCTCGAATTGGCCGAATATTGTGACTTACAATGAAAATATTGGGCCCCGTGCTCTCAACCTTCTTCTTCTCGCCTGGCCGAGGCTTCCTCGACGGCCTCGCGCTTTGCGATCCGGCTGCCGGCAGACTGACAAAGGCGTAGACGACCTGGATCGCGACGACGATGGGGAGCGAGTTTTGGAGGGTTCGCACGGGGTCGGTCACCAGGGAGCTGAACTGCGCGAGGAAGAGGCCGGAGACGAGCACCGGCTGGAGGTGTCGGACGACCTGCGCAGCAGGGCTCGCCAGGGCCTGGACAGGATGTAATACGTTGTCCTTTGGCTTGCCCGCGTCGGAGGCGGCTTTTGATGATGCTGGCGCTGACATTGTGACGGGGTCGACCAGTGGCATGGTGTGGGTAAGGAGGAGGATGGGGTGAGGCGATCGATTCGGTCGGGGTTCGGAGCCCAGTCTCCTGTCGTTTCGGTCAATGGCTGAGGCAAGATATGGGTTGAGTTCGTGAATGGGTACCCGGAAGGCCACGGCTCTGGAAAAATCCCGGAACGGACGCGTCGAGGCGCGGGCACCGTGCAGTCGGATCCGACCGGATCACATGACGATAAGATGCGGAGGGTCTGATAACGAACCCCAGATTGATCTACTGTCGTGCTTACCTAAGCAAGACACTTACTGCGTACAGTACACTGTTCCTCATGTTCACCTTGAGGAAACAGGTACTTCTGGAAAGGTACGTATCTGCGGTATGTTCTGCTCACAGAACACATGGTAACTGTCTCACGGTTTGCCTTGTTTGGGTAATGACTGTTAATCTCAAAGTTGCGGTCTCTTCTTTTCGGGATCTGTAGGATACAAATCTGTCGATTCGGAAGCAAGGCAGCTGTCAACCTTTCCCCGGATTCTCCCTCGTCAGCGCACCCAGCCGGTCGGGGCCTGTGGTTCGATAGCTGAAGGAAATGGCGATCATGTCATTGGCACAGGATTCCTGGCCCCGCTTCTGTCCAATCAGCGCTCGTACTCGGTGCCTCCCGTCAGACCACATCACCCCATTAATGTTGGCAGTCGTCAGGAAACCACCTGAAAACGCACGATCGCCCAACGTCAGTTTTTTTTCGTTGATTGCTAACAACGGCTGGAATCCAAACGGGCCCCCTCCAACTCGGGCTTTGCGAACCACGTTACCAAGCGCTGCGCTTGCCCCCTTTTCGCGGCTGCGCCTATTGGATGAGACATAGTTGTCATTCATGATTCACACCTTTTTTTTGGTGCTGCAGAAATCCAAACCCTTGGCCCTGGCTTTTGGGGGGATCCGTTTACGAGATGGGATGGCATGATCTTGACCCAGCCCAGATTAGAAGCCTCCAGGCACGGCAATCTTACGGGCAAAGATGCCCGCCCATCTGCCCACAATAGGCGTTTGCCGTTGGAAATCCCGGAGTCCTTTGTCGAGATTCACAGATCTTGTAGGTATGCGGGCTGGAGGCACAATCTTTTCCTTGGTATAAGATCCAAAGCAGCTTCCCGCCTGTCGTGTTCCCATTCCCGTTCTCATCATCATCACACATCAACAACACCAAACAGAGTCTCAACTCAATCACCAAACTAACTCTCCACTACATCTTCTGTACGAGTGTATTACATTTCACCTCACTCCTCTCCATCAAATCAATAGAAGTCTCTTGACTCAACACCAAAAAAAAAGCCAACCCTCCAATCACCACTCAAAATGTCTCCCGCCTTCGCCGCCCGCAACGCTGCTCGCTTCGCTGTCCAGCGCAGACAGTTTACTCTCCTCCACAACATGCGCAACGTCGCCCGGTCCTTCGAGCCTCATCCCTTCCAGAGAATGTCGCAGACTGGTGTTCACGCCAAGCCTTACTACGGTGCCATGATTAAGAAGCGTGCCGTCACCGCAGCAATGTAAGAAGCCATCACAGCCTTAGCTACAGAAGAGATGACGGTGACTAACATTACACCAAACAGGTTCTTCCCCCTTGCTTTCGGCATCCTCGGCTGGCCCTACGCAAGCATGCTGCTTGTCGATGGTCACATGTAAACAGCCTTTTGGATAGTCGATCCACAACATGGGATAATTGGCAACAACGATACAGGAGTTGGAAGTTTCATTTGGGAATTTGGGATATTCACGAGATACCAGCACATATCTCAAGCATCTGAAGGCGTTCTGGGGCTTCTTGGATACCTATAGCATCGGTAGAAGTCCGTACGGACCATGCATAATTTACTTTGTTCAAACTAAGAACCCACCTGAGAACCTCAGGTTTACTATCTTTGACCATGAGTAACATCGAGCTTGCCTACATGAATTTATTAGTACGATAAAAGTCATAAACTTCGTATCGTCCCATGTACTCTTGTCTGGACTTCACTTACAACTTAAAAGAGACCCTGAGAGGCCCGTGCGTGGAAGCTCCGAAGCGCGCTACTCCACCTTTGTCCTAGTCCCTCATTCGCGCCCATGCAGCTCCCCGGACTGCTACCGCGTCGTGTTGAAGCTGCCACTTTTGACCATTTTGACAACACTATCACCTCCAAAGGCGAGCAACTGCGACCACGACCCAACGAGAATACCTGACAAACAGGTGCCAGGGACCTGCCAACAAGCTCGAGTGCGGCTTTCTGTTGACTGCCATCGAGCCACCAAGCATCGAATCGCCCCCACTTGCAGTCACCGCCCGACCAACAAACAAAGGGGTTCCGCCGCGAAAACGAACCGAAACGACCAGCAGCAAGAGCATCGTGAGGGCTAAAAGGCTCGAGGTGTAGACAAACAATACCATTTTGTTATTGAAATTTCGGATGCATCTCACAAGATGACGGACTCGCTGCACAACGCGCCAATTGTCCTGGACAATGGCTCCGGTACGATCCGTGCCGGTTTCGCAGGCGACGACCTGCCCAAATGCTACTTCCCCTCGTTCGTCGGTCGGCCCAAGCATCTGAGAGTTCTCGCCGGCGCGCTCGAGGGCGAGGTCTTTATCGGACAGAAGGCGGCAACGGAGCTCAGAGGCCTGCTGAAGATCAGGTACCCGCTGGAGCACGGCATCGTCACGGACTGGGACGATATGGAAAAGATTTGGGAGTACGTCTACGGCGAAGGCCTCAAGACGCTCAGTGAAGAGGTTCGTTTGGCACAGCTTATGGCTTGTGCAATATGCGAGACGCACTATATCTGCTCTTGATACTAATGCCCACCTCAAGCATCCCGTCCTCTTGACCGAACCACCCCTCAACCCTCGCAGCAATCGCGACACAGCGGCTCAGATCCTCTTCGAGACCTTCAACGTCCCGGCACTGTACACATCAATCCAAGCCGTCCTATCATTATACGCTAGCGGCCGGACAACCGGTATCGTTCTTGACTCGGGTGATGGAGTGTCACACGCAGTGCCAGTTTACGAGGGTTTCGCCATGCCGAGCAGCATCAGGCGGATAGACGTGGCAGGACGCGATGTGACCGAGTACATGCAAATGCTGCTGCGGAAGAGTGGCTACGTCTTCCACACCAGCGCCGAGAAGGAGGTTGTGCGGCTCATCAAGGAGTCTGTAACTTATGTCGCTCACGACCCCAGGAAAGAGGAGAAGGAGTGGGCAAACAGGACAGATCCGGCCAAGGGCGTGGAATACGTTCTTCCGGACGGTCACAAGCTTAAAGTCAGTTTCTCGTTATGGAAGACGGCAAAGATAAGTGGGCTGACTATGTTTACAGATCGGTGCGGAACGGTTCAGAGCACCCGAAATCCTCTTCGACCCAGAAATCATCGGCCTCGAGTACCCCGGTGTGCACCAAATTGTCGTTGATGCCATCAACAGGACGGATCTCGACCTGCGCAAGTCGCTCTACAGCAACATTGTACTCTCTGGCGGCAGCACGCTGACTAGGGGCTTTGGTGACCGTCTGTTGACGGAGCTGCAACGGCTGGCCGTCAAGGACATGAGAATAAAGATTTTTGCGCCGCCAGAACGCAAGTACTCGACATGGATCGGTGGAAGTATTTTGGCTGGTCTCAGCACTTTCCGAAAGGTAGGTTACAATCTACTCACCTACTCTTTCCCGTGGGCTCAATTCACTGCGGAATCTCGAGGCTAACCCCTTTTTACAACAGATGTGGGTGAGCATCGACGACTGGCATGAGAACCCGGAAATCATTCATACCAAGCTTACGTGAGACGGTTCTTGTTTTTAATTCATATCGATGAAACGGTTTCCAGATGGCGTTGATGGCCCCCCTCTCGACGTTTATAGATCTAGAGCTGTGTTCACCATCCTGTTGCGCCTTATGATTAGACACAAAAGGCGACAACTGGATGAGTAGATGGAGTTTAGATGTCATGGAGGTTGGAGCGAGAGAGAGTGGCGATTGGCTGGATTTAAGATTTACCTACCCTCAAAAGACATCGGCATTCGCGAAGCCATTGTCATAGGTGAAAGGCAGCATATGAGGTAATGGTCAGCTAGAAAGTTGAGAATGATACCCGAAGCTGTTGTCTCTTTTGATCACATATGCAAAGCGTACTTTTTGACCATGCATTGCCGTACAATGCTATGCAGCTTGCCGCATGAGTTGGGGTCCAGTTGGTTGGTCGTTGTCAAGTTACGTGACATGCGTCCGATGGAAACCGGAGGTTGCGTTGGTATCAATATATTCCTTTTTTCCTTTCGGGCCGTAACATTCTTTCTATTCGCAACCCTATTTCCGTGTCTCGCCAAAATAGCGTCAACAATCTCTTTTCTTGTGTCTTATCTATAACAGCTTATTGTCTCTTGGGCCCCCGAGCGTTTGCTACCCCCTAGTCACGTTGCGTGTTTCTGTCAGATGTCAGTCAGGATCGTCATGAGTTTGTGACGGATGAATATATATCGATACCCTGGTTTGGCCGTTGTAAGTGGGTCACCGCGACGGTTCCATTTGAGTTTGTTTTTGGAGTTGGGGTCTAGAGATGAGACCTAGGTAGGTGACTGGCGCGTACATACGGTTGTATTCATACATGCAATGATACCGAACAGAGGTGTGATAAAATGATGTTAGTTTCCTTGAGTTGGAGCGGGTGAGAGAAGGTGAGGGTTGTGGATGTGAGACGAGGGATCGCTGTTGTTGGGTGGTCACGGCGGTTAAGGTTAGTTCCGCCCTGCCAGATTGAGGACGTGTTGGAGTGAGATGGAAGACTATGGATACGCAGTTTGAAGCGCAGGTACAGGCTCGCCTACCATCATCTCCTCTCAAGGTTGGTTACTTGCTTGTTGGTCCTTGACAGTCCTCGCTCATTGAGACGTAATTAGTACAAGATTGCTTCAACCATGACAGCCGGACTATTCTACAACTCAGCAGGCAGAGCCAGTGAATTGAGTCGAAAACCAGAGAAGATTGCACCGTGAGAGTGAGCTGGTTCACTTTAATTACTGACCGGCATATGAGATCATGTCACATTACTGGCCAAAATTAGAGTCATTTGTGAAGATGTGAAACATTTGATATTCAAGAGGAAACCCATATATGGTCCCTCTCAGTACTATTTTGCTGAACAACCAGATGGGTGTATCTGGGGGTATTGTGTCCGCCGCGCTCGCTCTCATGCCATTCACCAGAAAATAGAAGCCATCCCGAGGCCGCTCCCGCTATGTCCTTGATAATTCATTCCGTATGCGTGTGTGCTTTTTTTTAGTTTCCGTAACGGCGTGCCCTTGTGATTATGAAAAAGAGGTGTGTAGATAGGTGCTCAGTTGGCCTTGGTGACCCGGCGCCAGAAGTTGCCGCCACGGTTCTTGAGGGACTTGAGCGAGGAAGTAGACGCAGACTCCTCCGAGTCGCCGCTGTGGACAGAAGAGGCGTCCGAGACGCGGCGGGTGACATTGCCAGCACCGCCGATACCGACGTGGCCGACGGCGGCGCGGTCGCGAACCTCCTGGCGGTCAAAGTCCTCGTCAAAGGTGCGGACGGGACGCTCGGGGGCTTCGTGGCGGTTGCCAGCGCCGCCGATGCCAGAGTAGAAGCGGCGGGTTGCGCCTCCGTTGCCGGCGGGGATGGGCGCGGGCTTGAGAGGGGTGGTGATGCCGGTGGCCGGGGTGAGGACCTGGGGCGCCTTGCGGATGTTGCCGAAGCCGCCTCTGCCTGAGTAGATGTATGTGTTTGGTGCCACGGTGGGGTGAGGCTCGGTGACGAAGATTTGGGAAGGCATCTTGGTGGATATGTGTGTTGTATGTATGTAGTGTTTGGTTGTGGTGGTGGTGTTGAGCTTTGAGGTTTGGTGTGTGGTGGAAGTGGGTGTAAGTGGGATGGATGTCAGCTGAAATGTCGTCTGAACTGTCAGATGAGGAGACTTGGGTAACCAGCCGATGATGTGTGAGATGTGTCTTGGATGTGTCAATGGCGGGAAAGGGGATCCTCGTGAGAATAGCGAGAGGAGGCCAAGGTTATTATAGGTTTGTCCTTGGAAGAGTAAGAGGTGGTGGAGGGCTAGCCTCACAGACACACCAAAGCAGTGTCCTCCTGACAAGCAAAAGTTTCTCCCATGCCCGTGAGCTAAGTGACGGCGTTGCACTCGCAACGAACAAGGTATGCTCTCTCACACTTGTGATGGACCAGGTACACTAGGTACGTAGCTACGTACTATCGTGGAAGACTTTTTCTTTCTTTCTTAGTGTGAGAAGGAAAGAAAATAAAAAATGAATAAAACCGGAGAGCCCACATTAGGCAAAGTTTTGTCAGAGAGGGCGGCTCTCGAGCAAGTCACAGAGTGAGGAGGAGGCGGAGAGATCTGAATGTGCAAAATTAGCATGGCCCCGAGGCCCCGAAACAACGGGAGCGGAGCTACGCTAGCTAGGCTGGGCCCAGGCTCATGGGTAGCTTGGACCTTGGCTTTCGCTTTTTGCCAGGTCAGGTTTGCTGTTGTTGACCTGTTGGAGCCGGTGTGGGGAGTGAGCAGAAGAAGACCATGCATGTCGTGATGCAGTGAATAAATGACAAGACAAGGTCAGATGTGTGTGAGACATGGGTCTTTGCCGGAGGCATGCTGCATATGCCGTATGCCTCTCTGGGTTGCTAGATCTTTTACCACCACCAACACACGCGCTCTGAGAGCTCTCTCTCTCACCCTGGTCGTATATCGCAAGCTGCTGGGCGGTGCATTTGAACCGTAACCGGACAAAGGAGCTCTCTCTCTGTTATCATCAATAAGCAAACGTCGAGATCCAAGTTTAGCCACTTTTGGTTGCACTCAATGATCTCACTGATAAGAGTCGTAGAAAAGCAACGAGTAACGCCCGTTGCGCTGTTTGTTATTCCTACGCAATCATTGTCAGGGCCCCCAAGGACCCCAAAGACCCTAATGACTGCGAAGAGCAAGAGGGCAGCTACAGGGCGAGCATCATTTCATCCGCCATGGCGGTGATTGATTTTTTTCCCTCTCCTCCTCTCCACTTCTTGGTGCCAGGTGGACCTCGTGACTCTTCAAAAAACTCCAGTTGTCAAATTCTCGCCATGAAAAGACGCCATTCTGGAGCAAACGATGGGGTAACGTTTTGCTAATAGATTACCGCTTTCGGCCGTAGCGCGACCTCGGGAGGGCCCACTGGCTGGTCACGACGCTCCTCTTTAAACAAACCTGAAGGGCTGGGAGCTGGGGAAAACGGGGCTAATGCAAGGAACGTGGAACGTGCTGGACGGAATTTCGCAGTGACTCTTGAGCTCTAGCAGAGTTTTATTTTTCTCCCCTCTCCTCCCTCTCTGACCTTCGTTTCTACTGCGTAGCGGCTCGGGAAAAGCTGATCCTGATCGCTGCTGGCATGTTTTGGCTTGGAAGGAGTGGATAGGACTGGACACTATTAGATCACCACCCACCCCCTCCCTGGCTAGGGCCAACAGCTTTGTCGACGACGTCAAGGAGTACTGCCCGCTTGTGCCATTACCGCCCCCGCCAACATGCCCTGTCGTCGACCAGTCATCATTTTCCTGGGGGTAATGGGAATCCGTTTGCCGCGTCTCTGAGTGTCAGCAGACCTTTTCTGAGCCCATGTCTGATGCCACGATCCTGTTGCAGGTTTGAAGGTAATTCCGTTGACGAAGCTCGTCTCGGTTTCGAGGCAAACGTGCTCGCTTGACAGCCTTCGGTTCGTTCGATAGTCTGGCGCCAGTCCACTTCCCCCCATTGACGTGAGTTCTTGGCTTAATTTCGCCTTGAGCTCAGTTTTGTTGCCGTCGAGGGCATGAAGCCACGATTCAGTCACGCATTCCTGCATTGCCTTGGATTCGACATCAAGGTACCGAGAGCCACAAATTTCATTTGGAGATTGAATGTTCGGCAACCGAGTTGACAGTGGGATTTGAGTAACGTCAACGCACCGAGAAAGAAAGAATGGCTTGGAGGGAAATGAACCAACTTGGACTGCTGTATGTGAGGTTATTCAACTTCAGACTGCCAATTACACCATCTCCAACCAAAAACTGGACAGAAACGAGCTTTACGAAAACTCTCGATACACGGAGCGGCCCGCAAAGCTGTCATCCCATCTGATCCTCAGACTTTCAGGCTATCGAGAGAACACACTTTTGTCTCTACAATTTTACCTCCATCTCAGCTTGTGAAGTATTAAAGGGCCACCAGTTTTACCCTCCGTAGACACTCCTCCAAAAAGCCACAAAGCCATCGTCAAGTTCGGCTTACACCAAGCCCAAGCCCAAGCCCTAGGCTTGAAAGGCAGTGAGACCGGCGCCCTCATCAAACCGTGGCGTCTTCATTACGTACAAAAAGCCAGGCAAGAAGCTAAGAGCCCAGCACACTTTCCCCAGACGCCCGGCGAGCGCCATGATCCGCGCATCTTTCTTCCTCCACACATCAAATCTCCTTACCCCGCGTTTTCGCTGAACCTGGCTCCCTCCGGATGAGGCAAGCCCCGGTCCAGAGCTTGAGGAGGTGCCATCTGATCCGTTCAACCCGTGTGATCAAAAGTTCATTCCCCATCCCTTGCGGATGAGCAGGGGGGAAGAAAGGGGGTGGTAGGTAGTCAGGTAACGGTGCACTCTCTCAGGGCTGAGCGCCCGCAACAACGTGGTTGAAGTCCGTCGCTGCGGGAACATCTTTGTCTTGAGGAGGTTATGGGTGGTGTCGTTGCGCCCGGTGAAGAGAGTCGGCCGTTTCAACATCGTGTTGAAAAATAAAAGCTTTGTGTTCT